ACTGCTTGATTTTCATCAGAGTGTTTTTGATTTTATCAGATAACTGCAAAATTGTTCTCCATTTTCAAAGTTCATTTGTCATGTTTTACTCATCTTAAAGGTAGCCTTTGAAAACTCTTAATTAAACTTTGTCTTAATTTTGGATGGTTCATTTAAAACTGGTAAATTCAAGGTCATGTTTAATAATGTCTTTCTAGATCTTAATGATATCAGTGTATATCATCCTTAAGAATATTACTTATATTCCAGCATCCTTAGATGAATGTTGTTATATTAGGAACAGCCAAAGTCCATAGTTGTAGAAATTTTCAAAACCTCTTTAGAAAAGGACTTAGTGTGCTAAGAGTGTTTATAAATGAGGGAGAACCTTGGAAATTTTTAGGATACATTTTCTTTTTTTTTCCCTTCTGATACTAGCATGTGTTTTCATTGATAATACTTAAATTTTTTTCCTTCTGTCACCCATGCTGGAGTGCAGCAGCACAATCTTGGCTCACTGCAGCCTCTGCCTTCTGGGTTCAAGCGTCAGCCTCCTAGTTGGGATTATAGCTGCGTGCCACCAAGCCCAGCTAATTTTTTTTTATTTTTAGTGGAGACAGGTTTCACCATGTTGGCCAGATTGGTCTCAAACTCATGACCTCAGGTGATCTGCCTGCCTCGGCTTCCTAAAGTGCTGGGATTACAGGTGTGAGCCATCATGCCCAGCCAAACATGCATAGATTTAAAAAAAAAAAAAAAATCATTCCCACCCCCCCAGAGGTAATTCATAGATTTCACAAAGCACTGTCTTTTCTGTGACTCATCTGTTTAAATTTGCTTACTTTAATTGTTTTTAAAGTTGATAGAATTGAGAGTTGATGAACAAGACTGAGAATTCTTGAGAAGTATTATGTTCACATTTCTCATAGCTTGTGTTTTATGTTTGGGCCAGAAAAGATTTCAGAGAGTTGATATACAATTTTTTCCTAACTAGGATTTATTGCTGCTCTGTATAGATTCAGATTGCCAAAACTTACTACATTTTTTTTTTTTTCTGTGAATGATCAAATAGGTCTTTTTTTTTTCTTTTTTTTTTAAAGGCAGAGTCTTGCTCTGTGGCCCAGGTGGAGTGCAGTGGTGCAATCTTGGCTCACTGCAGTCTCTGCCTCCCAGGTTCAAGTGATTCTTGTGCTTCAGCCTCCTTAGTAGTTGGGATTACAGGTGTTTGCCACCATGCCTGGCTAATTTTTTGTATTTTTAGTAGAGACAGAGTTTCACCATGTTCGCCAGGCTCTTCTTGAACCCCTGGCCCCAAGTGATCTGTTCGTGTTGGTCTCCCAAAGTGCTAGGATTACAGGTGTGAACCACTAAGCCCAGCCCAGATTTTTTTTTTTTAACTGGGAATAACAAAATTATTCACAAAACTTTTGGTGTGTGGTCTTCAGTCAGCTAAGAACTTACTTAAACATTCTTTTATTTATATTTATTTTTTATACTTGATTTTTTTTTGAGATGATGGGGTCTTTCTCTGGCACCCAGGCTGAAGTGCAGTGACATGATCATAGCTCACTGCAGCCTCAAACTTCTGGGCTCTAGCATTCCTTCTGCCTCAGCCACCTGAGTACCTGAGACTTAAAGGAATGTGCTACCACATTTAGTTAATTCATTCCTTCCCTTCCTTCCCTCCCTTGCCTCCCTTCCTTCCCTTCCTTCCCTCCCTTCCCTCCTCCTCCTCCTCCCCCCCTTCCTCCCCCCCCTTCCTTCCTTCCTTCCTTCCTTTTCTTTCTTTTCTTTCTTTTCTTCTCCCTTTGTTTTGGAGATAGGGTCTTGCTTTGTTGTTGCCCAGACTGGTCTCAACCAACATTTTTAATAATTATAGAAACAGTGTCGTCTCTGCTATCTTAATCTAAATGGTGGAAAGCCAGATAAGTCAGTTTTGATAGTTGGTCAGAAATCAACTCTGCTATTATAAAATTCCAACTTATTGTTTTTGTGTGAGAAAGTTGAATAAAAAAGAATTGTGTTTTTTAGCCGGGCCCGGTGGCTCATACCTGTAATCCCAGCACTTCGGGAGGCCAGGCTGAGGTCGGAAGTTCGAGACCAGCCTGGCCAACATGGAAAAACCCTGTCTTGACTAAAAATACAAAAATTAGCTGGGCATGTCTGTAATCCCCAGCTACTCAGGAGGCTGAGGCAGGAGAATCGCTTGAACCCGGGAGGAGGAGGTTGCGGTGAGCCTAGATCGCGCCATTGCCATTCCAGCCTGGGCGACAAGACTGAGACTTTGTCTCAAAAAAAAATGTGTCTGTTATGTGTCAGACATCAAGTTTTGGAGCTAAAAAGTTAGGTAAGAAATGGTCTCTGCTTTTAAGAAACTTAATATTTGGGAAAAAGTTTTTATTCTTTATTTAGTATGTTTTATCTGACCATGACTAATGTAGAATTAGTGAAGCCTTTGACTATTTTAGTTTAAGACTTGAGTATTTTTTTAAGCAGTGAAGCAACATAGTTTTGTTTTATTTTGAAATGGAGTCTTGTTTTGTCGCCCAGGCTGGAGTGCAGTGGTGTGATCTCTGCTCATCTCCGCCTCCGAGGTTCAAGAGATTCTCCTGCCTCAGCCTCCTAAGTAGCTGGGATTACAGACTCGCTCTGCCACTCCCAGCTAATTTTTGTATTTTTAGTAGAGATGAGTTTTCACCATGTTGGCCAGGCTGGTCTTGAACTCCTGACCTCCTGATCTACCAGCCCTAGCCTTCCAAAGTGTTGGGAGTGCCCTGCCTAATTTTTTTACTAAAATGAAATTCATATTTAGTTATGTGATATTAAAAAAATACTGCTACTGTTTCCCTTGAGCTCGTTGGTGGATATTATTAATAGATATATTTATTTATATAAAAGGGGTGACTTTAGGAGCCAACTGCCACTTAAATGGAACTGTTCATAGTGTAAATGGGAGACTGTAAGGGTATTTGAGGCAAATCTAATGTTGAAACTTAACTTCGGTCCTAGAGTATTGAAAATTTGGTTTAGCTAACAGCTGTTGCATGTTTCTGAAGTTGACAGTCTCAACTGAAAGTAGCATCTGTTTGGAAAATTAAATGCTAATTAAGACCCAAGTTTGCAAAATGATGTAAACTGTTAAAATGTTAAACTAATGACGAAATAATCTGCCTGCCTCAGCCTCCCAATGTGCTGAGATTACAGGCGTGAGCCACTGTGCCCAGCCAACTTTTTTTGTTTGTTTGTTTTGGTTCCCATTCTGGGAGACAAATTCTTTTTTTCTTTTTGAGACAGAGTCTTGCTCTGTCGCCCAAGCTGGAGTGCAGTGGCGCAACCTTGGCTGACTGCAACCTCTACCTCTTGGGTTCAAGCAATTCTCCTGCCTCAGCCTCCTGAGTAGCTGGGATTACAGGCATGTGCCACCACACCTGGCTAATTTTTTTGTATTTTTAGTAGAGATGAGGTTTCACCATATTGGCCAGGCTGGTTTTGAACTCCTGACCCTTGTGATCCACCTGCTTCGGCCTTCCAGAGTGCTGGGATTACAGGCATGAACCACCACACCCGGCTCCGGCCAGCTTTTAAAGTACGTTAGTGTAAGACTTAGGATCCATATTCTTGTTATTGATATCCACATGCCTGAAGGCAACATACTCCTAGTATGACTGGTAAGCTGTTTCATATTGATCTTAGTGGCTCCCGTTTTGGGGAAAATAGCAGATGTCGGTGAAATAAAGTACTAAATGGGGTAGATATTCCAGAATAATGCACAGTTAGGTTGGGGGTGGAAAAAAAGAATAATGCAAAGATGAACTAGATGAAAGTAAATATATCTTCACAAATTGCTTGTTTAGAAATTTATCAACCAAAATCAATCTATTTTGTCTATCCTGTTTAAAAAAAACAGCTAAAATTTCATTTTCCTTTCTATGGTAATTAAATCTGTACATATTCTCTGTTTGCCTGTATGTTTAAGTTTGCGATAATTTTCTCTCTTCCTCCTTGAATGAAAAGTTGGTCTCATTTCAGGTTTTTTAATCAAAAAGCATTTTTTGGTAATAGCTGACAATAATCGGACTTCTTATGGGATGGGTGCCTTTCTTGGCACTCAAAGATGTTGACTTTAAATTTTCATGATTTTTATATAGTGGGAATTATTTTGAGTATAAACATCTTGTTTGTTAACTTCTCCATTTTATTTTGAAATTTTTTTATTCCATTGTAGAATGAACTATTAAGCATATTTAGTAATTTTAGTTTTGTAGTTTCTTTTTTAAAAAGATATTATGCTAAAAGTTTATCTGATTTAGATGGGCTAGAAAAAGTGATAGTTTGTCCCTGGATGTCAAAGCTATGTTGTTTAAGATTATTGCCTTTGAATCTAATATTGTCTCAACTAAGAATGTGCTTGTAACTTTAGAACTGGAACACTCTTAATTGGGTTTAATAAGAAAATTGCTGGGTGTAGTGGCTCATGCCTGTAATCCCAACACTTTGGGAGGCCAAGGCGGGTGGATCACAAGGTCAGGAGCTTGAGACCGGCCTGGCCAACATAGTGAAACCCTGTCTCTACTAAAAATACAAAAATCAGCTGGGTGTGGTAGAGCATGCCTGTAGGCCCAGCTACGCAGGAGGCTGAGGCGGGAGCAGGAGAATCGCTTGAACCTGGGAGTTGGAGGTTGTGATGAGCTGAGATCACACTACTGTACTCCAGCCTGGGCAACAAAGTGAGACTCTATCTCAAAAAAAAAAAAATTATGATGGGATGTATGTTGGAAATCCATACCTTTGAGGTTCTTATATCTTTAATATTGGGGATAACGATGAATTCTTTATAATGATTCCCCCTTTTGTATTTATAAAATTGCAATAAATCTGTATAAAATCTCAATTGGTCCTTATGGGTTCTGTTTGTTTTTATGATAGTTATTCGTTTTTTAAACGACTTGCTGAAGTGTTCTTTTCTCTCAGTTGGTTTCAGCTAAATGATTCGATCTTTTCCCCTGTGTTTGATCCTTCAGGTTTGGACATATTTGACTTTTATTCCCCCAGGTTGAATTGACCAAAGCAATGGTGATGGAGAAGCCTAGTCCCCTGCTGGTCGGGCGGGAATTTGTGAGACAGTATTACACGCTGCTGAATCAGGCCCCAGATATGCTGCATAGGTAAGACATTTTTCTCCTGCATCATTTAATGCTGTGTTTAAGTATGTAGTACTTAAGAGAGTCTCCCACTCATCATCTTGTGCCTTGTAGGATTGTTGCATAATACTTACTTGCATATAAGTATCCCCCAATTTTTTTTTTGAGACAGAGTCTCACTCTGTTGCTCAGACTAGAGTGCAGTGGTGCGATCTCAGTTGACTGCAACCTCCACCCCCCAGTTCAAGTGATTCTCCTGCCTCAGCCTCCTGAGTAGCTGGGACTGCAGGTGCCCACCACCACGCCCAGCTAATTTTTTTTTTTTTTTTTTTTTTTAAGTAGAGATGGGATTTCACCATATTGGCCAGGTTGGTCTCGAAATCACAACCTCGGATGATCAACCTGTCTCAACTTCCCAAAGTTCTGGGATTACAGGCGTAGGTCACTGTGCCTAGCCCCAAAAAATAATTTAAAAAAGTTAGACTAAGTTACCTAAACTTGTACATCATTGGAAAATAACCATCAAAATGTAAAGGTATAGTCATGCGTTATTTATTAAAAAGGTATTAAAGATTACTGGAGCTGAGGTGGATGTAAAAAATAATGTATTAAAGACAATTCATGACTGTTCCTGTAATAATGTACTTTTGTGTTGATGTGCTTTCGAAATTGTATTAAAACATGTTCCTGTATATACAGAAAAATTGTTTCTGTGGTTTTACTAGATACTTCTATAATTTGTTTTTAGTAGAAATGATACATGCTTATCGGAACTTAAAACAGATAAATTATGGAAGTATCTAGTAAAGTATCACAGAAACACTTTTTCTGTATGTGTAGAAACATGTTTTGATACACTGTCTTTTAGCTTTTTAACTTGATAATCTGGAGTTATCTTTCAGGATAATACTTGTATCCCATTAATTTTAGTGGCCACAAAGTTTTTTTATAGAGATGTAGTGTACTAATCTAATGATGAATCTAGAGATTGCTTCTATTATTTCCCCTTACAGCGTTGCATTATACAAAACTGTCTATTTGTGTGGACTTGTTAGAATAATTTTATAGAAGTTTCAAAACGTATATTTGCTGGACCAGAACTATTTTTTCCCTTATACCTTGACCAACTTGCATATTAGATACATGATTATGAGATATAAAATATAATTTATAAATGTTTTCAATACTGGTTTTGGCATTGCTCTGTAAATGGAATATATCTTGTGAGAGAGAGAGAGAGTGTGTGGTGTGTGTGTGTGTGTGTGTGTGTGTGAGAGAGAGAGAGAGAGAGATAGGGAGATAGGGTCTCAACTGTCTAGGTTGGAATGCAATGGCAAGGTCATAGCTCATTGCAGCCTTGAACTCTTGGGCTTAGGCTTTCCTCCCACCTCGGCCTCCTGAGTAGCTGGGACTGAGGCACAGTCCACCTCACACAGCTAATTTTTCGTAGAGACGGTTTTACCATGTTGCCTAGGCTGATTTCAAACTCCTGGGCTTAAGCAATCTGCCTGCCTCAGCATCCCAAAATGCTAAATGATTCGATCATTTAAGATTTCCAGATGCTTTTTCGCATTTCCTCTTGATTGTTACAAAATCCTCTACTAAAATGTAAGGCATTGATTGTAAGAGAGTTAACTTCATTTAGCAGATACACTCAGAGGGGTTAAAAATTTGCTGGTACCTATGTACATGACCATTAAGTGGTTGAACAAGTCTCTAAGCTGTTTGTACCCTTTCTTTCTATTTTTTTTGGAGACAGTCTTGTTCTGTTGCCCAGGCTGGGCTGCAGTGGTGTGATCATAGCTTACTGCAGCCTTGACTTCCTGGGCTCCAGCGATCCTCCTGCCTCAGCTTCCTACATAGCTAGGACTACAGGCATGCATCACCATGCCCAGCCAGGTTTTTTATACATAACAGACAGACAGACACACACACATACACACACACACACTTTTCTTTTTTTTTAGATGGAGTCTCACTCTGTCCCCCAGGCTGGAGTGCAGCAGCGAGGTCTCAGCTCACTGCAGCCTCTGCCTCCTGCATTACAGTGATTCTCCTGCCTCAGCCTCCTCAGTAGCTGGGACTACAGGTGCGCGCCACCATGTCTGGCTAATTTTTTTTTTTTTTTTTGTATTTTGGTTAGACACAGGGTTCTGCTACATTGGCCCAGCTGTTCTTGCACTCCTGACCTCAAGTGATCCACCCAGCTCAACCTCCCAAAGTGCTGGGATTACTGGCATGAGCCACCATGCCTCACCTGTCTTTTTTTCTTTTTGTCATATGCCAGTTTTATTCTATGGGGTCGAAAGGAATTAACCAAATGCAATAGTATTTCTTGTCACTATCATTATTCATTGATTTTTTTTTTTTTTTTTTTTT